AACAGAACCTATTAGATGACTACGACACGCAAAGTGGACCAGTGAGGAATTTAATGATTCCCGTTTGAGACGCCCGATGACCGACAAATTATACACAACGAACGTGAAGTGCCCTACGTCTCACACTGAGTCTAGGCACAGTATTGTTTCTACTAATCATATATAACTGTCTTAAACAGTTCTTTTGATGGTCAAGTAAAACTTTGGTCTTCGTTCCTGACCGAATCCTTGTACCGGCTCTCCTTTGGTTGATCGCACGAACAGGCGTCGATGAACTTTCCACTTATCCATATCGAAGACCAAATAGTCCTACCTACACTGCGCCCTAAACCACGGCTTTCATGAAGAGCAAATGGTTATCCGGGCCACCTGGTATTTAATTGCCGACGAAATCCGAAACTCCGAATTTCGCCTTCACATTTCGTGAAGCACGGAACACGTTGCGTCTACTCTCTACTAAACATTTAAAAACTCTCATCACACTTTTCTTTTGCCTTAGTTTCCATTTTTTTTTGTGTACGTTAGGAAAAGAGGTGCATGTCAACAAAAAAGAGCGCCGGTGCTCATTTTCTTTCTCAATGCTTCCTCAATGTTACTGTTTCTCTGAACCCCTTAGTAATCTAATTTTGGTGAACTTGAGCAAGAGATAATTCAATTTCAGTGAATTCGAAAAGTCTCGAGTAGGTGTTCTAAATATACTGAATACGCAGATCGTATTTCTCAAGTCGAAAATACCTTGTGCTTCCAAAACCAACCTTCGAAGTAAGAGTATCTCAACCAGCCTTGGTTTTCGGGCTCCTTCCTTGCTGTTATACAGTTTTTTGTTTTTTTTTTGTGAGATGAAAAAGAGATTGATGGTGATATAACATTTTACTATGCAATATCCAGCGATTTTCGTGCAGAATCGTTCTGTACAAACGAGCAGTGCACCACATCAGAAGGTTTAACTCGACTGAATTGTTTTGACGCGATGACTACAAAGACTCTCATCACAATAAACAACTAGAGCCTTGAATCGAATCATCGCAGCTCTAAAAAAGGCTGAGGTGCCGGAGACGTTAATCAGCATTGGTTATCATAGATAGTTTTGTTCATCATTATAAAATTGGACAGCACCAATAGCTCTTACGCTTTAAGCTGAATAATTTTGTACAAAAAACTTGCCTTGAAATTTACCCAATAGAAAGAGTTTTCTATTGAGGGCAAAACGACGTCGAGCACGAGGTGACCTCCTGTTCAGTTTTAAATTTCAGCATTTTGAGTTTTCAACAAAACCTTCAATTAGTTCTTTTTTTTCTTTACACTTCAAAGCTATTGTTTTCTCCAGTATTCATTATAGAGATTGCAATGGATTATCATGAATCTCTATATTTTTAAAGATAATAGTGGTTTGAAGCAAGCAAGATCTCATTATAGATAATTACAGAAAAGAAGATTTGAGATTTGGAAGCATTTCTCGCTATACGCTGGAGTTTTCATCGAAATTCAAGCCTTTGAACATGAGAAAATAGTTACTTTGTAATTTTCATAAAAGATGGCCAAGTGTCATGACGACCCACCAAAACAATTCATCTCATTATCGCATGCACTAGCAGATTAGGCCTTACACTTCAAACACCTCGTCTGCATGATCTGAACCAGGTTCATGATACACAACCTGATAACGTTTTTAACACTAGAGCGTTTAACACTGATAGGGATCCTACGATTTTCATGTGTTTCTGTTCTGCAGCTCATCGTAAAATTATGGGGCAGGGTTAGTAGAATCGAATACTTCCTCTCTGGTAACCGAGTTTTTAAGTGTGCCGTTCATCCTCGGTAAGAGCAGAAGTTTTAATATTTATTGTTAACAATCTACTCAATTAAGTCTTATTATCAAATTAGTAACCATTCTACTGTGAACTCGACATCCCTGTAGAGCACATGATTAACGTCTACTGTTTGGCAGTTGCTCGTTAGGCGCACCTAAAGAGCCACCTATCCGATTTTCGCTGATTGTGCTGAAACATTCACAGATGCTCGTTCCGTTGAATATGAATGGAGCACCGCGAATAAGTTTGTTTCCCATGATTGCCTTCTTCGCCGAAGAGCTATTTTTCACGCTACCACGTGTGCGAGTTCTATGTGTGGGCATCCCAAATTATTGTTCTTAGAAAGAAAAGTTTTGTTTTATAGCTCCTGTGGTATTCGTTGTCCCAATACTCAGTCTCTCGCATAATACTAGTAAACTTTGAGCCCTTTTCCACGTCAAGATCATTTTAAAAAATACATGTGCAGTAACAGCGCTTTTAAATTCCCTCATTTTGAGTTAGTTACTTTACCATCCAGGTAAAATTAAAATATCATCATCCACTGATATGGCACTACGAATTTACTTTCACTGTGAATCAAACTTACCATCACACTATGGCACCTAAGTCACATCACATTAACCAAGGATACAAATGCTGGATATGCAATTTTATATTTTAGCAACAAATCTGTAGGCCGGCTTAGCTCGCTCATCTTAGTTCGATATTTGCAATTTGTGTGGAATATGGGCACAAGTGGATATGCTTTTTAGAATTCTTTGCGCTGTTATTCATTTAACACTAGCTTTAAAAACGGCAGTCAAATCTCAAACAAGGAAGAAACTGCGCAGAAACCGAACTATAAGCGGTTTACATTCATGTTTAAGGATAAAACATAAAACGAAGACTGGAAAATTAGGATCGGAATCCTTCAAGACAATGAGAATTTTACAACGGGCTACATTCGGCACAATCCTAAACTGCTGAAAACAGCGGCCGCAGAAATTGTTGGATTGAATTTTTATGTCTTTATTGGTTAAAATGCCGATCTGTGCCATTTGGAAGCTTGTTTTAGAAACTATTGTCGTACAATATTTTTTTTCCGCTTAGCTGATAATGGCTTGAAGAGGGTTAAAATAATACCACTTATTTGGGTGCTTGGACACCTGGTTGACCCATCATTACGATTAGTGAGACCCCTAATACATTTTCTATTCGTTTGTTTCATAGTTCTTTTCGCCCATGAGCTACGTGTTTTTCTCATTTTTTGGCTTGCCCGTTTGTTCCACCATATATCTTTAATCTAATGGAATTCGAAGACAGGATAGGCTTTGGAGATATGAGCCTCGTATCCCGATTAGATGTTTTATGCACGGGCTTTGTTTCAAAACAGATCGTTCTAGCCTTTTGTTGGACTCAGCATTCTTGTTTGTATATCGTTCCACTCCTTTGCTGTCTAACAAGGCCCTGGGAAAACTGATGAATCAATGTAGAGAGCTGGAGTTTGGAGTTGGTTAGTTGTTTGATAGCTTTTTTTGGAGGTCCGAATGCAGCCCAGGTTGCTCTGCTTCTTCTGTATAATTCCTCCATCACGTTGTTCTTTGTGTTTATGAACGTTCAGAGAATACGCACGAGGCAGTCTGCTCATCAGAGAACCATCCACTTCAGCTTGTCTGCGTTTTCACCACGCGTTAATCGTGAACTCGGTCTTCATCCTATTTATACGCACTCCAATCTTTTTATTCGGCTTCGTTGAGCTCATTGATCAACGCATCTGGGAGTGATAACCATATAGTAAACAGAAGGAAAATTTGATAAGGATTTTCCATCAGTACGCATGCCCTTCTATTCCTACTCAGGCGATTTCGTTATCCAGTGCAATTCATCTACAACTTCTAACGGGTTTGGTAAGAAGTTAGCAGAAAAAAGTATTTTCGTGTTACAGTTACGATAATAGTAAATCAGAGTTCTTGTATAGGACCTATCTACTCCCTTAGCCTCACCGAAAGGCGTTGTTATAGATAATAGGATAATAGTCGTAATCACCTTGTAGAGTATATTCAATAAAAATGACCTTGCATAACGCTCTGCTTTTACAAATATCCAGGTGTTAGTAAGCGAAGAAATTACTCAGAGCCTTTCAGGTGAATGATTAGCAAGAAAATGACATATCTATTAATAAGCATGCAAAGGAAAGGGAAATTTTTACTATGTAAGAGATAAAGGAAACTGTCTATGAGGTAAGGATAAAGAGACCAGTGTTAACCAATCCTTAAGGGACGCATAATGCACTCGGATGCACCACACACGACTTCAGAAGGATAATAGAGGCGACTGGATTCATATTTGACCTGTGTAATAACTGCACAGTCCTTTAAGCGTATGCATTTACTGGCAGTTCTCAGAATGTATGGTTAGGCTTGAGTGCTTTAGAATCAATAATAACTGCTTACACAACCGCTCGTGTAATCATGATCAACATCTTTCGTACCAATCCTCTTCCGTATGGTTAGTGCACCCCATAAAGGAAAACACATACAATAACATATCACACTGCGGATTTCATTCACAGCTCATAGCAACTACGACTAGTCTGATTCGAGGAAAATAATCAAATTTCAAACGTGCCCGACTTCTCAAATCCATATCAAGCCATGTTTGGAAGGATTTTTGCTCTTCTTCGCTTGCTTCAGCGAATGTGGTACTCGCTGATTTAATTCTGCTTCGCAATTATGTTCAGAGTAAGAATTTTAGCCTCGGGGAGCATTCGGTTCTCAGGAGATTTCCCATGCTGTTAACTCGTCTGGTTAGCATCACAAGTCTTGGGCTGAACGCATAAAATTCTACAGATATATTTATGGAATTCTCCAGACATTATCATGACATCCTCCTTAAATAGAGCGCTCATCGATTTTACATTCTTAGGTATAAAGAAAAGCATAGAAGGTGAAAGTGTGTTAAAGCACAGCACAAAACTTTCTTAATTGCTTTATTCTACGGAGGAGAACTTAGAGAACCCACAATTTACTACTCTTTTTTCGACATCTGTGTCTGTAACGTATATAATTTTTGTAGATAACTAAACCAACTGTGTCCCAATAAAAGTCGTTTTTGAAAGAAACTACTTATTCTGAAAATGACTGCGATACACAACACGCAATTGGAAGTAAGACATTCGCAGAAAAAGATTTTAAAACGTATTCCTTTTAATTAGGATACATCATCGCTTCTGCCTCCGCAAGAGTCGAGGAATCCAACAAAAGATGCTCGATTCAGCAGATTCTTGGTCATTTGTTGAAATAGTTGTTTGATAGACCTTCAATAATTTCAGCAGAAGTAAAGGGTTTTTGCAAAAATATAATGAAGCACCTTTAGCGGTTATATACTGAAAGCTTGTAATAAACCATATTGCATAGTGAATACATCTTACATAGTCTTGAACCATTTTCCAAGCACAAACCTCTGTTGATTCCGACAAGTACTGTCGGACTTCCAGTCTTCTCTCCGCTACCTTATCCAATACTTCCAACAACAACTCCTCGCAATTAATTCCCATCATGGCACTGTAAAAATTTCACGACATGTGAATTGAAACTTAGTCATGTGAAGAAAGACCACTCAAATGGTCTGCATAATTCTATGGGAAAAGGCAAGAAGAGTACGAAAGGAAAGAAAAAAGTTGCCATGAAGACTTCCTTTCTCTACCTGGTCTCAACCAAAGAGAAACCGAGTTGATGAGATTTGTTCTCGGCTTCCTTAAACGAAATCTGACGATGATCTACCATATCTGCTTTTGTTCCGACGAGACAAATATCGACATCCGGAGGAATCTGCAAATAACTGCTGATATTTTAATTAAATGCTTCGCATTTATCGGCTTGTATGGTCAAGATGTTATATGATAAATAAAGGGTATCGACTCAAAATTTCACAGGGACCTACACGAAGTCTTATTTTGTGTGAATACAGAACAGCCTTCTAGAGTCGTACGACCTTTTAAAAGTCGAAAAGAGGCCACAATTATGAAAACTGCAATTCTCTCTAATTAGGAATAATAAGATTTCAACGTTAAAGTGTACTTTTATTGATGGTGGATGCAAAGTCCGTTGAGAACAAATACTTGGATACCTGGATACTTAGAAAACCCGTATTCACTGCTTGTGAGAACCCCAACATAATTTCATTTTTTTCGAGTTTTGTTGGTCGAGTCACTGTAGCCCTGGTGTCCCGAGGTCTGCCCCAGGTCTTCATCACCACATGCAGTGGCAGTCCTTGTGGATCAGAGAAAGATTTGCCACTTTGCGACTAGTTTGGTACCAGAACGGTGACGGATCCTGGTATTGGTTTACTATTAGCTGGGCTTACTGATAGAAACTCCGTGCTCCTCAGCTTGGGAAACCCTGCCGGGTGGAAGAATTCCCCTGCTGTGCATCACAGCTCGATACCGAGAATCACCTCCCAGCTACGCTGACGCAGTAAACCGTTGGGAGGTAAGTACAAATAGCGAAACTTAAAGAAGAGAAGCAGAAAATTACCATTCGTTCTACGACTCGTAGCACTTCATCGATTTCCCAAAATGTTTCCGAATTTGTAATATCATAAATAAGGAACAGTCCATTAACGTCTAACGTCTGTTTAGCCTGAAAGATAAAAGTGTGCTTATGTGAAAAACTTCCGTGCTAAGTAATATACATTGAACTTCTATAAATACCCACAAGATGGACTTTCGCTGTGTCAGGACTGGCATCCTTTGCGAGGAAATCGGTCAAGTCTGAAAATCTTCATCTTTGGAGATTTCAGATTTCCTTAGCACTACTTCTACCTGATTCTACTAAATCTGCTTTGATTATGCTTCCATGAATTGCTCGAACAATTACAGTGACGTTCGGGAAAGATGTTATGGCATCCGAATCAGGGAAAACGTTGTTCTTCAAGCGATGAATAAGCGCCGATTTTCCTGATCCACTTCTTCCCAAAATTAGAATTTTGTATCGATCCATGCAGAACTGTAACATTCAGTGAAGTACGCGTAGAAGAATGAGTAGGGTAAAAACAAATGAAAAGCTTTCGGACTATTAGCCAACAGCTTCTTTAAAGTAAAACCGCATCTTGAAGAAATTCGTTTAACACAATAAGATAATAGATATATAAAGGGCGCGTGTGGTGTAGTGGTCGGAGGCGCTTTTTAACACACATGGGATCAATCCCCGCGTCCGTGGCTCACCAAGCCCTCCATCCCTCCGGGGTCGGCAAATTGGTACCCGACTTGTCTGGGAGGATAGGAGCACTAGCTCGATACCTCGGCATCCAACGATGCTCAATGAAGGCGAATGCATGGCGCATGTCTCAGGGATTGATCAACGCCGAGACCTTTGTCTTTATCTTTTTAATAGATACTGATAGGAAATGACCGTACTGAACAAGATCGACATAACTGTTTAAACCACACAAATGCGCCAGCGCTTGCGAGACGATATTTGTATTGCTAGTATCTCAATAATACAACCATCACCAAAAAACCACATAGGTTTTCTTTTTGTACGATTGTAACTGCTTTTGAAAACATTTATTACCCGAGGTTCATCGACAACCGTAGTATCATCATAACGAAACGCCATTGTAACTTCGTGTAGACTAAATGTGGGCTGTGCTGACAAAATATGGCGATTTCCTACAAAATAACACTTAAGAGAGCAAATCGCTTTGTATACATTTAACAAACACCACTTTGATCACAACGAAAAGTACTTCACACTTTATAAACCGGAACTTTGTCGGACCGAAGTGATTAACTCAGTCAGTTCCTCTTACCTGCAAACTTCAAGCCGAAGGAATTCTAGCAAAGTAATTAAATGATGCATTAAAAGGGATGCTAAAATTTTAACTACACAAGCCGCTTCTTCGTTTAAAATGCATTAGAACTTAAGTCTTAAAATTATTTGAATTAATAGTAACGAGAAATTGACACGCACAAATATTGTATTCGACATAACTTTTATCTCCACAACCGACTTTCCATTGACCTCAACATTGATCAAATAATTCTCTATATTCTTATTGAGCAAACATAAGGTGTTATTTCATTCGTTATTCCGTTAAAGCCGAGGTCTCGGCAGTATCGCCTTCTTCAAAGTATGGAAGGGTATATTGATAGACATTTTAGAATAAAGTAACACCTCGTGTTTGTTCAACAAGAATGTCGGTAACTTTTTATATTTAATGTCTATATTCTAAATGCTGTAGATTTGTACCTAGAAACAAATATTTATCTATATTACTTACGAGTTTAACTATTTGTATGGCTATAGTTTTAAATGAGTAAAAAGTTTCTGGAGGTGATAACCGATTTGTGATGTTGTGGTCGCTTAAATCGAACTCCTGGGATGCATATAAATTATGTGACTACAATGAGAATGCTTTCATCATTGTAAATTCAGTGATATTCGCCATAGTGCTTAGTCATTCTGTTCGTGTACATTGATTTTGGATCAGAGACGACCACGAATTACGTTATTCGAACAATACTACGAGTGGAATGAGTACTAGTTTTCCTCCGTTGTTTACCACTTTCTTATCGATCTTACTCTTTTCGGTTAAGTGAACGAGATTCTAGTGTCAAAGTAGTGAGAATCAGCATTTATGCAAAAATAGGACATAGTAGGATACTTTAGAATATACCGTAGCATCTTTCGAACCGGGTAGTATTCATAAATATGAGTGACCGCTGATGACAATCTAGTAGTACTACAAATCCACCGCAGAACATCATAAGCAACATTCTTTTTCTGCCCAACAAGTCTGTCTTTTAATGGCACAAACTGTTTTCATTGAGTAGTAACTGTAGAGGGAGAAGAATAATAAGCCTTCACTAGATCTCATATCCAATTGTGCTCAAAGGTTATTTCCGCTTTAATAAAACGATACAATCCCTCTGTTCCTCTCACCCTGTATGGATGGAGAGGAATGATGAGTTCTTGCCTAAGCCAAATCCACGTTCATTCACTCAAACTTTGATGTCGAACGCAAATACAGTAGTGGGTACAACATGTTCGACTAAACAGCACTGTCTGAACTTAGTTTCTTTTTTCATGAAAAGTACCAAAAATTTTTACATTGTAAGTATGAAATCGAGTGCTTACTCACCTTGACTGCTAAGTGATTAGCTCTTCATAAAGCTGAATCAATAGATGGAAATATTCTTATCACTCGGCGGTTAACTTCTTGATAACGGGCTCGCAAACCGTTCACTCAATGAGGTGTAATCAACTGTCAAATAGACATTAGGTGTTCAAGAGCACCGAGATCAAACATGTCTAAAAATGCTGCTAGATATATATTGGGAAATGTGACTGAAAGAAACATCATTAAGCAAAGTTTGTTAGTGTTCGTGTAGTTCGAAAATGAATGAGCATTTGTGCAGTTTCCAGTGAAACCGTGCAGTTTTTTTCCTCAACTACGATATCCTAAATGACAAGTCACAGCGCAAAATATGTAAGACTACATTAAGAAGGACATTTCCAGAAGTTCCTAGCGGTAGGACCAAAGTACGTTCCATTTTTCTTTGGACAATTGATAGGAAGTGCTCAGAAACAAAAATAAAAGTAGGTGAACAATTCACCTGTACGATTCTTAGTCATCAAGTGACAGAAGCGGAAAGGCGGAAATGAAGTCGTTTTCACTTTTGTAGGACTACTGGGCGTACTTCGTTTGCTGCAGAAACTATTCTTATGAGAGGTGTTTATTTTAACCGTTTCTAGCAAAGTCGTTACCTTGATTACTTTGTCGAACTCATCGGCTGTCGACGTTTGGATTCATTGTCATATGCAGTTCAGGACTGCCTATCATGACTGCAGTTTCCAATAACGCAACCGCATATATTTGATCGAATCGACATGCACCCTACAATGCGAATGCACACGAACATATTTAGGCACAAGTATAATAACAGTCGTAGAGGAAGTGTTGAATAATGCAGAGACACAAAGCCCACCCCTTAAATACTACTTATGCAGTGTGCAACAAAATCTTTCAACACTTTCGTATTTTTTCCAGGAAATAGTAATTAAAAGACGAAATATCAGAAAAACGATTGCCATTTAGGGAACCTGTGGTTGGAATTGGTAATCTGAGAAAATCGCGTTACCAAAAGGCTGACCGTCTGAAGAAACTTTGAATGAATGGGATTCGTTGAAGACAGATTTTAGCCATTGTAGGATCAATCGGTTTTCATATCATTTTAACGTTTTTTTTTCTACGACGCTATCTTATCTGCTCTCTACCATATGTTCTTTAATGTTTACGGAATTTCCTTGTAATACAGTCAGCTGTTATGAACTGTCTGTTTCCCTGTTTGTTTTCAGCTTCAAGAGCTGAATAAATCCTATTAGATAACCAATTTTCTGCATGACTGGGCTGATACGAAGTCAGTATGAGAAAATTTTACTGGTTTAACCTTTCGAAGCATTCGCTTCGAGCCGCATTGACCCGCGTCGGTGGTTCACGGCTGGTACATGTCGCGATGTGGGTGTTCGTAAGCGCATCGAGTCCAATCCACTGGAGGGAGCACAGCTCCAATGAGGGACCTCACCAGGTGGTGCTCTTTTAAGATGGTTAAATGTTGATCATTTCTCAGCATCACTGTGGACAACCATCCAAAATGTTCTCCTTTTTTGCTTGCTCGGCAGTGCATTCTGTAGTAAACGGTACTTCATTAGCTGACACATCGCTTGACAGAATCTTTAAAAGCGCGTTTTTTACTGTTTTATTTTGTTTCATTTTATTTTATTTGACCCGTCTTCACGTCTGCTGTGCAGTTCCAAACACTCCCCACATTCAATTCGCTTCCTCGCTTATATCATCCACGAAGTTCTTCCAACTTTACGCGCGGGTTCGGTTGCTGCTTGAGGATTTTCGTTTCATCTTGAGTGCTGTAGAATGCTGGTCGAGCAATTCTTCCTGGTGTCCCAAGCTAGTTGGATTGGAGCGCTCCTAACTGGATTGCAAAGAGTGATTTTTTTCCAGAAAAGTCCGGCACTAATTTCTCAACACCGGAGGGATCAAAGGCTTGGTTGGCCCGGAGCGGAATCGAATTAGCACCATGCTGGTGATGACGAACATCACTACCACTGTGCTATGTGCCCTATAAAAGTAGGATAATCTCAAAATATCCTAATAATACAAAAATGTCTTATATAACTCGTATGCCTTAAACACATAAAAATATGAAATGTTCAAGATTTCCGTTTAAATCTTCAAGATATTGCCACGCCATGTGCCTTCTATTAGGAATGCTTTAGACCAGGCACAATATTGTCAAGTGACCTGGCCTGGAAGGAAGCGGGCACGTATACGATGTTTCGTTATCTGCGAACTTTCTGCCTTTCTGACAGTAAATAATTTTTCAACAGCTAGAATACTTCCAGAACAGCGAAGATGATAGAATTCGAAAACTCTATTGCTTTATAAGGGGTGCGTGTAGCATTGTGGTTAGAAGGGCCCTGCAGTACACAAGGGATGGATCCCGTGGCCTTGGCGCATTAAGCATTCCATTTCTCCAGATTCGGCAAATTGGTAGCAAAATCGTCTGGGAGGATAGCCACACTGACTCCATACTTTGGTAGGTCACCACAACTCATTGTTTAGGTCAATTACGCATTTAGTCACCTTTAACGATATTTGATGAAGTCGAATGCTTGGCGCAACCCTCAGGAATTAATCAACGCCGGCAGGTCACTTGGGAGTGTTTTGTACTCTATGTTGAGTCCAAGTCTCGGTGTTTTTTATATCCGCTTCTTCCATACAGTAACCATGTGATTAAAATTAGAGAGCAGTTAATTGTTAGTCAAACTATCGCTCAATGATCCTTTTCAAAAAAAAGCGTTTCTATAAGGCAGCAGGTGCAGGGTATAGTTTTCTAGTGCCACAGTCATCACTGTGATCTAATTCCGATTAGCTGCCGAATAAATATAAATAGTGCGGTAAAAAGATTATAAAATGCACT